AAATGTTTAAAAATCAGTTGCATACTGTACGTTTGTCTTGATGAGGAACTCTTTGTTTTACTCCGTCCTCCTCTTCTTAACAAAACAACAGTGACACAGAACACTGACATCTGGGATTATAACCATGAGTATTCCCAGACGCAGCCACACACACAGAAAACTGACAACAGCAGGTTCAGGGGAATTGTGCACTCACTGTGAACTATGAAAAAACGCTGATGAAGTGCATTAGTTTCTCCACAGGTCTCCTCGTTCATTAATTATTTTTCACTGATAGCTACTGCTTGATGGAAACTGTCTGAGCCCCGCGTCTCTGAATTTATCATTCATGGTAATGATGGGGTGGTAAACATGGATCCACCCAGTGATAAAAACAAAATAGTCATAATAACCATTGAGATCACCTAAGGTTATTATCCCTCTTGTCCTGCAGACAGATACTCATACAGTTAACTGCTGGATGCACCTTCCTGCAGCATAATCAGAGGTTTATTTGCAGCCTCTGATTATGGGCAGTTATGCGCATGGTTTGCACTTTCTGGAAAATTAAGGTGATTTCGCTTTTCTTGTCATCCGTTTGTTCTTTGCTCACAGACCTCCAGCGTACGTGGCCAACAGCAAATTCCACAGCTGAGATTATCAATGAGCTGTTAAAAATTGCATGGCAGTAAATATATCTAATCTATTTAAAATCAAAGGTCATGCAGCATCAGTGGACATAGTCACTGCCAAGACAACTACAACTAATACAGCTCCGAGGCTGAGGAATACCCTGCCTGAGGAAATACGATGGGCTGAGTCAGAAGCTTCCTTTCAATCAAAGCTTAAAACATAGTTTTATTGTACCACATTCCCTGATTTGACCTAATTCTACATTTTGTTATAGTTATGCATTGTCATGATTTAATTTCTTTAACAAATGAAACATATTTATTCTTTTATGACTGTTTGTTAATTTTCTTGTCTGTTAGGAACTTTGTCACTTTTTTTGAGAAGTGCTACATATATAGAGATCTACAAATCTAGAAACCACAGTTGAAGTCAACAGTAAACAAATTCAAGATTTATCTTTTTCTTACCTGAACGGTCGTCCGAGTCCTCAAACTCCACAACAACAGAGTGTCCGTTATTGGAGATGTTGGTGGAGGTACACTGATCATAGTTGAGGACGATCGGGCCCAGACTGGGGTCATGTGAAGCCCCCTGAGGTATGATGTCGATGGGAGACTGCCGGGTGCCCTCGGCCACAGGAAAGTTTTTGTGCCATACAGAAGGACCTATAAGGACATATAAAGCAGAGAGCAATAAAAACATCTTGTAGAATTCTCACTTCTGTACTTGTGCCTCGTGAAAGCTCCAAAAAAACAGATTTCACAGCAGGGGAAGTTCTTTCAATAGGGTAAAGCTTTAGTTTCTTTAAATGTGATTAAATTACAATTATTATTATTTTATTTAAAAGCAAGTCTTTCTTTTGAGGCAACAATCAGGATAGCAGCATTCAAAAAGGATTAGAAATACATTCTTTAGAGAGAAGACATGTCTTGTTTCTTGATCACACTAAACAATGGACCTGAGCACTTTATTTATTATTTACCATTTCTGGGTGTTTCCTCCCTTTTCTCTCAAACAGCCTTGATTCTTTATGACATGCATTACACAACATGTTGACATAATCATGTTAACTGAGGCGTCTGACCTGCATCTGGGAGATTTAATGCATTGCTCATCTGATTGGCTGATTGAGAAACTGAATGGACTGAAACAGCAGGTGCACTGGGGTTCCTAATAAAACAGCTCAGTGAGAAACTGATGCAAAGCCACGCTTCTTCACTCAGGGATGAACCGGAGCAAAAGCCATGTTAGGGTTACAGCGGTCATCCCTTTAAGCTCGAGCTAATCTCGCATTAACAGCCATTTTAACATCTAGGTTACTCCTCTGGTTAAAACAGGCAATGCAATAACCCCCCTCCAGCAAAAACCATGGAACTGCAAGAATCCATTGTGCCGCCTAGACAGAGAGGATTCGTGCCTGGAGCTGCAGGATGCATGTGTGAGATCTTACCGTCCTCTTTTCCATATCCCCAGTGGTTCCCTGTCATTGTCCCCGTTTGTGGAGACAAGTGTGACCGAGCTGACTGTCGCTGCTTGACTCGTGCACTCTGCTGCGCACTCGGAGGACGGACACGAGCATCAAGCCGGTGGAGCTGTTGATGAAGTTTATGTAGTGACCAATGGGGAAGGGCAATTATCCCCTGTTGACACGCCCCCTACACACACACACACACACACACACACACACACACACACACACACACACACACACACACACACACA